CAGCTGGGAAGAGGGTAATCAGGCATGAAGGAAAAGGTTAGTATGTGCAGTCACCTCCCAAAGGCTGAGGTGGGGAGGCCGGAAATTGGACTGAGTTACCGTGGCCGACCTGCTGCAGAGGGATGGCATTTACTGGTGTCTCAGAGTAAAAGCCCAGAACCTTGCAGTAGTGTAAACACAGAATGGCCTAGGCTGCAGAAAACACTTCTCATATCTTGTTTTCTCCCTCCATCAGATATTACTGGAGGCCCGTGTTTTTCTGGGAAGTCTATAGTGATGCTCGTGGGCGTACCTTGGACTCTCACAGAGTTCAGGGGTTGTCCTTTGCCGGGAATAACCATGGAGGAGGACTGAGATTCTGTTCTGCATGTTTTGTTCAAGGAATTTGCTCAGCTGTGCTGGTAATGTTATGTGAGCCGGCCCCGGAGGAAAGCGGCAGCCCAGAAAGACTACAGGGTACTGTGTGCTGAGCATTGCGCCTCTACCCCGTTTCATTGATGACCTGCCACCGCTGAGCCCTCCCTGTTGATGTTAAGGGACATGTCTGTGGTCTGAATAATGAATGAGTGTGAGGGCAGAGATCTTACTAGGCGATAAGTCTCTACTACATGCTCATGACAGTCTATGGGGTGTGCCAAGATAAGCAGCTTTTGCTCATATCACAAGTATCCCATGATACTTACTACCAGGGTCGCTTAAAAAAAAAAAACTTCAACACAGTTACTCCAGGCTTATTTACTTTTCAAAGGCATTGAATATGGAAAAAGCTTCAAACAGATGTGGCCTTCAGCTGGATCCACCCACTTACTGAATGGAAGTGGTGCTGTTTAAGACACTGTTAAAAATTTATATGGATAAGTAAAGAACATTATTCTTCCTGTTTGCATATCAGCATGTACATCAGTTTTTTAGCTTTCTCATTTACTTGATATGATGTTTTTACTGGGGCAACTGTATCTCTTTCTGGCAGCTTTCATCAGCCTGTTGTCTGTCCCATACCTAAGGACTGCCACACAAAGAGTCTCAAAATAGAAGGGCAATTCTAACAGATTCACTAAAACGGGACCGTGCTGGTCCATCTGTCTGCGAAAGTGTGCTGAGCTTGATCCGGGGGGGGGATATCTGATGTGACGGATAAATGCTGTTAAACATCATCAGTGCTTTAGCAGTGTGTGTCCACAGTATGGGGACAAAGTCAGTCCTCTGGTCAGTCAGGTACTAGAAATGCAGTATGTTGAAGAATGTTGGTCCCTCTTTAACACTGTAGAGTCAAAGGACACCAAAATCCTGGTGTTTAAAATGCAGCATGTGTGTGGAATCATTCCATACTCTTTGTCCATTGATTCATCAAGCCACTTGATTGACCTTCTCCACACAGAGCGGTCAGGAGTGTAGTTTGTATTGCTTTTTCCATTGCTTTCTTTTCAGGTCTTTGAGGTGTGTTTGTTATTTGCGGACCTGAACTGAAGCCAGCATATGAAAAGCTGAACCTGGATCTCATTTCATGGTCTTGATGGTCCAGTGTGAATTTATGTATCCAAATAAATTAATGTCAGTTAAATGAATATATAATTGCTAAGCAGCGTTGCTAGCATTCCTGCTGTGTTATTGTGACGTGTAAGGGGGGGCTGTGTAAACACTGGTCAATTTAGGCACATTCTACAAATGTCTTAATGAACTGAAATTTGAAATTTCCCAGAATGCTTAGCTAAATGAAGAGAGTGTACCCTAGAGGTGTACATAGAGGGGTGAGGATTATGCTAAGGGGATGTTATCAGGCTCGAACACATCCTGTTTTCACGGTATTGTGTGCAAGTCTGCCATATTCATCTTTTTGGTTATCTGTTGCTTCTGAAATGCTTAATGTTAAACTGCTCAGCGGGTGCCTGAGCTTTCCTTGTACTTCCCGTAGGAGATTTATGTTACATTTATTTACTTGGTTGCTGCTTTTGTCCAATGAGATGTGCAAGTGAGGATCAGAATTAGCCGGTCCCTGCAGCAAACGGGGTTAAGCACTTTATCCAAGAGTCTGGTACAATGACATCGCCCTCTAGCTTTCTAGCATTTTATGTTGTATAACATTACCTTCAGTTATATACATAAGATGCTAAATATATTTTTAGTATTTTGTAACATTCTACGAAGCTAAATTTAATTCCATACTTTGCAGCCGGTGGCAAAATGGAATGTCTGCATGTGTAAACGTTTTTTAACAAGATTTCGACTCACACCATCATTTATCTGTCAGCCAACATGAAGAAAAGCATCAAGGAAGCTGGATGAGTGATATCTGCGTGCCTGCAGAGCAGCTTCAGATTCAGAAGGTTCACTGTGTTTATGGTGCTTTTGCAGGCCAGTCAGCTTCTGCTCCCACCTGCTCAATGCCATACTGTATGTCCAAACTGACAATGGAAGGTTGGTGACAATCCAAAGGTCTGCGGGTTATTTCCAGCAGTGCTAAGATGTGATTTCAATGCAAATGTTCTCTCTGAAGCTTCTCTGAAAATTCTTCTTCCATTTGCTTTCCACTTCTGTCCCATTCAACTACCAGGCAACGTTTAGTGTGCTGGAACTGACTGTTGGGCTTGCTTTCTAGATTTTGACCAACAAAAAGATACATGTTCTTGTGCTTCGAGCTGTCAGCTGTGCACTACGCTTGTAAACTGTCATTGTAAGAGTTAAGTAACATGTTTGCTGTCTATTGTCTCCTTCCCACTGCAGAGTTGTGTCTGCTAAAGCGTCAGCTTTAGTTATCGTCCTGTGGAGACCGTGTCCCATAAATGTGAAAAGCATCATTAGAACCTCAGAATGCTTCACCATGGTGATAATACCACACTCCATCTTATATCTCTTCCATTTAACAGTCCTCACTTTTGTTTATGGCTCCATTGTCACCAAAATAATTTTTATTGGAAAAACTTTAGAGGTGGTTATTAGGTCAGTGGGCGAATGGCCGGATGAGCTATTCTTATCTGTTTCCTGTTTTATGGGAGGGTCGTCATAAAGTGGAAAATTCACGGTTTGCAGCAGATACCTGTGCCACTGTTATTGTGGATAAAGACCATTTTTAATGCTCATTATCTGAGGCAGACACCTTTACAGCCATTGTACGAGTAAACATTTTATAAAGCGGCTTCAGTATGCATCAGGGATCCAGCTTGATGCGGGTCTGGTCAGTGATGTTACATCAACATAACACAAACATTAAAAAGGTATTGTGACGGTACCGAGTCAGTGGCAAGAAGGTACAAGATAAGGAACTGATTTAGTTACTCTGTGACTAGGGGGTTTCTTACGGCCATCATGAATAGAGCAAACAAAGCAGCAGGAGCTCCTCTGAACAATGTGCCTTGTTTTTCAAGATCTTTCCAGGCAGAAAAAAAACATTTATTAGGGTTAAAAATAAGCGTATTACAGTAGCTTAGGTGAAGATACAATTAAATTAAAATTAGGCAAGGTCTAACGATATCTCCACACTTTCGGAAACAAAGATAATTACTAGTCATTAATGCTATAGCACCCTTACTCTGCAACACGATGGCTATTCCAATGTTAAAGAGCATTTCTATGTTAAAGAGACATTACATTCCACCCAGCTAAGTTTTGTCCCCACGTTTTACACTAACACCCGGTCAGATGACCCTCTGCATTCCTTGTGTCCATGTATCTTCTTTAATGACTGAATCAGCATGATATTTCCTGTTCTGTGCTGAATGTGACGAGTGGGTGTGAGAGACCCGTCTGGCTGGGTGGGGCCTCATCATACTCAGGGCTAACAGCCCGACGTGGGGCACTGCGGCCTTCCTGTCGGGGTTTATGCTGTGCTGAGGCTCGTCCACGGTCCCCCCCTCGGTAGGGTGGGTCCGATGGAAGGTAAAAACAACTGGCTTTTCGAGCCGAGGCTCAGCACAGCTGGTACGAATCTGCACTGAAACTCGCTCGGCTGGATTCCTCTGCTGTGACGGGGGGTCTTTTTTTCACCAAAGGCTGCTTTTTGACCTGTGACCAGCTCAGGGAAGCAGAAGAAACCCCAAAATAAAGGAGGCAGCAAGCCAGTGTATGTAGAAGAGAACAGGAAGTTTATGAGAGGCAGCGGATAACAGTAATAACTGGCTTAATGAAGGGACTGAAAGTTCCACCATGATCCCTCTGTTCTGCTCTGACAAAGATGTTTAAAGTGTGTTTCAACAAACTAGCTGCAAGTTTGGATAAAACAAGCTGTTGGAGGCTGTTGCTGGAGGGTTAGTGCAACCGGCGGTTAAAAGAGGCTGCCGGATAATAAAAGGTCAGGCATGAATGAAGCGTAATGGCAGCAGTCCATGCTGTTACTCCTATCGAGACGTCCCTCCTACGGCAATAGGTCAGTGTGCATTATGCACCTGTGGGTGGGTGTGGGCTGTGTTCAAGGACTGTACACAGCAGGGGGAGCATCAATGGATGGATGGACAGACGGGTGGGTGGATGGATGGATGGATGGACGGAGAGACGGATGGAAAAAATCAGGAAAGAGTTCATGTTTGATGATGATATCTCAGTCCACATTTTCTAGTGTGAGTTTATTTATAAGGAGCCGATAAGGGAAGTGCAGCATGTCCCACGTCTGACATTGACTGTAAGTGAGGTTTAGCCTCTGCTTAGTCTGCCCAGATTTAGGGAGCCAGGCTGTAGTGCCGCAGCGGTGAGTGAGCTGCTATTATTGGAATCCAGAAACTCCCAGCATTTTCTGGAATCTGTGCTGAGGCCCCGGTTTTACTGCGTGAGATAGTAGGAGCCGGCTTAGCCGGACCGCACGCGGAGCGCAGTGCTGGGAATGTCGTAGCCCGTCTGGAACCTTGGTGTATTCCTGCAGAATTCCCAGCCTGCGTCCGAACGCGGAGCTACATTAAAGTGACAAGCCGGGGCGAGGTGATCCAGAGAGAATGTGTGACGGGAAGCTAACTCTGCCTTTGCGATATTTCTGCTCCTCCCCCCCCCCCATCCCTCTCTCTTTACTCATTCAGCCATAACCAGCGGACGACTACGTTTCAGCACCCAGTGACAGGAGAGATTTCCGCTGAAAACATTGACTTCATGCTGCAAGAGAAGTGAGTATTTTCTTTACTATACGTTTATTTTATCCATAGCATTGCATATTTAAAAGTGATCTCACATGGCCTTGCCAACAAAAGCAGAAATCAATAAGCAGTGACCAGTGGGTGTGAGAGACCCATCTGGCTGTTTGGTGTCTCCTCATTCTCAGGGCTATCAGCCTGTCGTGGGGCAGTGCGGCCTTCCTGTCGGGGTCCTGTCTCCCAATAAGCCTGGCCGAGCTTCTCTCAGATTTTAGATTATAATACTTGAAGTGTCATCATCCTGACTGTGCTGACCTTGTGTCTGATGGCTCTGCTGCTCCCATTGTCAGTGATTACTTTGGAAGTTATTACATTAATTCATTCCACACTTCAGCAGCTATAAGTCATGTCTTTCTCCTGTCATTTGCCAGTATTTGGCCAAAAATCAACTGTACATTTCAAAAGGTGACCACAGCTGTTTAGTAGGCACCCTATTATTTGAAAGTGCGATGTTTCAGGGGGGAGGCCATGTTTAACTTTTGGGCTGTCTGACCATAGGAGAAGGAGATTAAGAGAGGAAGGGGGCACGGGATGCCATGGTAGGTCACTGTGAAGTCCCCCAAGAGCAGGTGATTGGTCCGGTGGAATGTCCGTCTACAGACTGGCACTCTTAGGTCTTAAAGGTGCAGTATCGTCCAGCATTCAGACCTTTCCTAGAAAAACAAGGAGGCTGTGCAGAGGACAGCAGAGTTCTATGCCTCAGAGAGCCCGGGGCCCTAGCTGATTTCTGGCAGTCCGTTAGGTGTCCGGGTGCAGCCCTGCAGTAAACCCTCCCCCGGTGCTCCCTGTTCCCCATCCTTTAGTTATCACTGCATATCACATTACCAGGGGTGAAATCAAAACAGAATTTTGGTCTAAAAATATGGGACCTGACCATCTAGTTTGACCCATATAAAGCCACTTGATCACATGACTGTGGTCATTCATTTGCTACAGGAGTTCTAATAAAAATGCAAATGATTGGCTAGCATGTCGGGAGTGAGAAATATGTTACAAATGACATGTGTTGCTATTATTGTTATCATTATTATACATTCCATTGCATCGCAGTGATTGTAATGCAGTGGGTGTAATGCAGCTGTTTCTCACTGCATACACTGGAAGGTGACCAGCTTTAGAATAACACCCACACACTGCATACAATGGAAGGTGACCAGCATTAGAATAACACCCACACACTGTATACACTGGAAGGTGACCAGCTTTACAGTAACACCCAGACACTGCATACACTGGAAGGTGACCAGCTTTAGAATAACACCACAGACTGCCTCTGTAGATGCGCTTATATTTGTTTGACTTGTAAGCAAGTGACTTGTTGAGTTCTCCCTCAAAGGCCGACTGAGTGAAATCATGGTGCCCTGCCTTCCCAGGGAGGTGAGGTCGGGTTATAAGCCGCTTAGATGAAAAATGGGAGCTGGGTGTTTAGGCCAATGTCACACAGCCCCATCAAGCCAGGCCTAACCCAGACAGAGACAGGCAGCCTTTTTAATTAACAGCTGGGTGTCTGTGCCTGACTGTATGCCTTTGTGTGGGGGTGTGTCTGTGTCTGCAGAGCTTGCTGAGGGGGGCCACCTAAAGGGCCTCATTTGTATAGCTGACTTCATTACTTGCTGAACCCTAATGACTTTAAAGCACCCATGAGTCCCCAGGAAGTTACAGTGATTTGTCTGTTTACTCTGTTACCCTGAGGCCTTTCACTGTTAAAATATCGCCGTCAAAATACCGGAACATTCTCCAGCGTTTTATTTCCACCGCCCACACTACTGCCCAGGGTAATTTAAAGGGCTGCAGCGGCCAGGTGCAGTGAATGCAAATGATGATGGAGAAGACTGCAAGGATCGCAGTGCTGTTCTGTCCCATGATGGAAAAGACTGCAAGGATCGTAGTGCTGTTCTGTCCCATGATGGAGAAGACAGCAAGGATCGCAGTGCTGTTCTGTCCCATGATGGAGAAGACTGCAAGGATCGCAGTGCTGTTCTGTCCCATGATGGAGAAGACTGCAAGGATCGCNGTTCTGTCCCATGATGGAGAAGACTGCAAGGATCGCAGTGCTGTTCTGTCCCATGATGGAGAAGACTGCAAGGATCGCAGTGCTGTTCTGTCCCACCCCGCATAAGTGTGTATGATGAGGCCCCAGCAGCAGGGACACTGGGGACAGCTGAGGCTTTGGGATGTGTCTGCAGATGCCCCAAAAATGCAGGCAACACCCAGCTGTATCATTTACCCCTTGGGAGTACAACTGGCTGACATTGTTCTTCAGTATAATAAAAGAAAATTGGGTGTCTTTGAGAACGATATTTATCAGGTTAAAAGAAAAGAACCACCCCCCCTCTATTGGTTAGTAGTGATTACACCAAAGCTCCATCTGTCCTTGTCCAAAGCAGAAAGTTCTATCCTTGCGTGTGTGTGCAGCGCTGCCATGCTGGATGTTTGAGGTGCCCGTAATAGCAGGCCATAGTATAATGAATTATGTGAGCCTGGTTAATATCGCCGGTTGTAAACAGCTTTGTGATAAATTACTTGTGTGTAGCCTGTTGTTTACACCGCAGCCCTGTACTGGAAAAATGGTTACGTAAGATGGATGGATATTACATTGTTGTTGCTTTCTACAGAAAACACCTGTCAGTAGTCTCAAATGCATCTGAAGCCTCAGATTCTGTTTGTTTTATAGAGGGTACAGACATTGGCTCCTTTGGCCCTACACTCCCACAGTCATTGATGACAGTCCTAATTTCAGCTCAGCCTCTGCAAAGGCGTTAATGTAGTAGGGCCCCAGTCCATGCTGGGAGGAAGTGATGGCCATTGTTGGGTGGTGCCCTAGTTGGCCAGGATCCTGGACTTCTCACTTACCTGATATTTCCCTCTCTTTCCTGACAAAATATCCATGGCACATTATTTAGTTCTTGTAAACACAAAAATAATAAATAAGGGTAAATAATCACGGGGGATGTGCAGAGCGTCCCTCAAATGTGCAAAAGCTCTTCAGGGGGCTGTACTTCAGAGTGAAACAGCAGCTTCTGCTGTTTTTCTCATTGATTTCAGCGGGAGCACATGTCTGCCTTTCCACTGTGTCCTCACCTTAAGCACAGCTGTAAAAGACAGTCATCATTGATTTGGGATCAACTGAAACCTCAGTTGACTTATTGAACTTGTACTTGGGCTTGTAAAACTCATGAGACTTGGTGGTAATTGGTGTCAGAAAGTGCATGGTTAACTAACCATTAATCTTGAACATCTGAGTTTAACTGAAAGATTAATTTCCCAACAGATCAATTTATCAGTTAGATGGCTGCACATGACAGGTGTACAACAATGACTCAGTGAAGAGCTGCAGCAACAGGTCTTTTGTGTGGACAATCTGTTTCAGAGCAAAAAAGATAAAAAAAAAAAAAACAGATAAAACGATCCCTGGGATAATTAGATCACAGCCAATGCAACCTTTTCTTCAGCTATTAACCCAGATAGGCTCAGTATTAAGGTTTGGCCAATTGACCAATAGAATCAGCCAGTATTAACGTTCCATGAAAGAATTGGCATTGGCAGAAACTCTGCAGGTGAAACACCAATGGTGCCTCTTTAAACACTGATGATGAGAAAATAAGCTCTCTCACTGGGGGAAATGCTGGGAACTGGCCTTCCTGTGTTGTATCTTGCAACTCTTAGCCACGGGTCATTAAGTTTGGCCAAAGAGCTGTTAGTGATTGACCGTAAAGGGAAAAAGTATATTTACCAGACAAAACTTATGAAATGCACATACTTTTTTGTACATGATAATAATTTGTGATGTTTTTGTTATTCTGTTAAGTAGCATCAACGACATACTAAATCTGATCTTGTGTGGCATTCTGAGAGTTCATGTTATTTACTTGTTCTAAGGTTAAGTTACAAGGTTATAACATGGCTTGTTATATTTAGATTTTTCTATGTATTGACCTTTCTGAGTCTGCAGTTTTACAAATTGACTCAGTTATGTCAGTCATAAACACCTGTTTAAATAAAGCTGGAAGGTAACAGTTGTATTGGTACTGAAGACGGAGTTTTCCTATCTGGTGTGGATCTCTCAGTTCATGGATCACCAGCAGGCTGATCCTTGTTTCCTTGCCAAGGCCTTGCTTTCTCCTCATGAATTTAAGGGCTGTTGGTCAGACAGCTAGCTCTACTACGCCAGCTGTACTATTTCACTGACTCGCATCATTAACAGTTGGGATGCACGATAATATCGGTCACCGATAATTATCTGCCGATAATGGCAATTATGACGTCACACCGATAATTGTGATAATGAAAATTCAACCGATAATGAAATCCGATAATTATGAACTTAATTTAGCCTCCAAATTTGCGCAGTTCCTACTACTGTAATTATGCACAGATCCTACTGTGGTTATATTCTGTTCTGTGAATAGACCAATTATGTTGACACTGACTTCGCATTATTCTTTAATGTTATGTTCAACATTACAAAAAATGGCTTACTTTTAAGAGCCTTGTTGTGCAATGAAGTATTTCATTTTTTTTTTCCTAAAAGCTTACCATTACACATTGACAATTTGTTGTAGGTTGGATGTTGGATTTGATGCCTGTCCACATTAATGTGAAAAAGTAGAAATAAATTCTGCTTTTGTAAAGTTACATTTGTTCTTGTTTTTCTGTACTCCTTTTTTTATTAGGTCTTTTAATACAAATATCGGTTTGACATTATCGGCTATCGGCTGTAAGGAGGAGCAAATGATCGATTATCGGTATCGGTTGAAAAATGCATTATCGTGCATCAGTAATTAACAGTATGGCATAGTACCTGGTAGTTCAGCTTAAGCGTGACACGGGCAATAAAGAAATGCTGTCATTTGGGTCAATAGAGGAATCTTTGTTACTGCATATTTTGCATCCTTTCAGCTTCTGGAAGTTGGGATTTAAAGTCACCTGGATGCCAGGAATGGAAAACTAGCTATGTAGTGTAGATTGTGTTCTTACATGACGTCTTTGCGTGGGAGCTCAAAGGTGAATGAAATTTAGTTTTGTGTTGTTTCTGTTTTCTTATACACAATACATGTTCATTTGAGAGGTTCGTCTGCATGGAGTTTCGCCAGGTGTTCTGTCTCCTTCCCACAGACCTAAGCAGCCATGGTGGTTTGGATTAATGTGCGCGTGTGGGCATCTGTGCCCTGGGGTTTCCTGATTTCCTGTTCGGGGCTGTGCTTCCTGGGATTGGCTCCAGGGCCTCTGCACGACTGCATTGGAGAAGTGGCTTCAGAAAATGATGGATATACATGTTTTTCATTCCTATGAGTCCCTGATGTGGTATTAGTATACGCTCTTCATGCTGATGTTTGTTTTTCAGTGGCAAACAATTCTTTCTGTGATGCTTGATCTTATATCACTGTTGACAGTTTGTTTCCTACGTGTCACTCCTCTTGAAGCACTCAACAATTTTCAGGGTTGAAAGACAATAGTCCTTGAGCTGAGGATGACCACGACTGCCCTCAACCATTTCCTGTTTCCTTTGTCTCCCTGTAGTCCGAATTCCTGCATGTCCAATCCGAAGTCCAAACAGAGGACCCCCAGCATGGTGAGCGAGTCGTCCACAACCATGACCTCATCCACTGGGGACCCGCCTTCTGTACCAAAGGTAAGGAAGTGGTTCACTGCTTATGGTGTGCTGGGGAAATTGCAAACATACCATAAGCTGGCTATTCCCATTGTGTTTTATCAGCTCTTAGGAATTTCTGTTTACTGTCTTTGGATCCTTAACGAGAATCCAAATGGAACACGGCATTTACGTCGTTATTGTTCTTGTAATTGAAGAAAGAAATAGATTTATTTATGCATTTCACTGTGGTTTCCTGTCTCCTTGGTTTAATGGTACAAAGGAGTTCAGCTGAGTCAGCTGGTTTAAGGAATGGCTGGGGCCTGTTTTGGATGGCTTGACCCATGGGCGTCTTATTTGCCTTGAGAACTTCAGCCATGTTGACACAAGTGACACAAGTACGTAGCCAGCAGGATGAAATGCCTCGTGCCAGATGGCTATTAAAGAGAAATCCAGTGGCTGCGATGCTGATGTCACGTCAGAAAGAATTGTGTCTGGAAATCTCATGTTTAATAAGCCAGTGTTTGGAGCCACGCCCACTCTGCTGCATCACATTGGTAACTCATGGGTGAATTTAGCATATGGCCTGAAATGTTTTCAGCAGCAGAACCTTTCTCAAGTGTAGCCTGGCCTTTAATTTTTTTCTTTCTGTTTTTTTTGGCAATGTTCTTTAAACTAGGGAGGTTTTTCAAAGGCCTAATTTGCCATTGTAAAATCCGGGAATTCATAATATGTCTTCTGCTTATTTTGCAATTGGAGCTCTGTTGAAGGTCACTGCAATTAGCCATCCCAAAAGAAGTTTCTCCCACAGCCCTGACAGATTGCATCTAGAAAAAAGGCATCTCCTGAGCCAAGGAATTTGGCAGGATTTGGAATAAAAATTTGACTATTGATGATAAGGGAGTATACCGTTTGTCTAAAGCCAGATTATGTTAAATATGGGTTAAACTTGTTTCAGTGAATGAAAGCGATGGAGAGGACTGCCTTTAATGCAGCCACAGGGTAAGGAACACCATGTCTGCACTGCTGAAGCAGCATAATGGGGTGACGCTGGCAGTTCTTGCCACGCTAAGTAAATGCGCACTGTAGCACAGCGATGCATAGAAAAGAGGGCAGCTCATTTTCTGTCAAATGATTTGCCTGCATTGCTGGTTTTGTAAACGCCATGTGCGGTTGATCATTAACTGTATCCACTTGGGCAGAACCTACATGTGGAATGAAGTATTCCTTGCGTATTACAGACAAAAATAATCCAGTGTTATTAAAGCAAATTTACTTCTGCACTTTAAATAGCCTTAGACGGTACTTATTCTTTTCATTCATCAGTCGGAATCTAATGGTACTTAATTGCACTTTAATAAGCATTGTGAAAAGTTCCCCATTGGCGAATCATGCTTCTTAGCTTCCAGCAAGTAGGTGTGATTTACTGAGCATGTTAGCAGGCTGTTGCGCATAAGTCAGGAGCTGCATTGATGTTTCCAGCGCCTTCCCGCAACATCCCTGGCACACCCTGCAAGTTAATCTGCCTGCGGTGGAAAAATAATCTGTTTTTATTATCAGCAGGCCCTTTGTGTATCGTAGGCCTCCAAGTCCAGCGGGAAGGTGCACAGCTTTGGGAAGAGGGACCACGCCATCAAGCGGAACCCCAACGTGCCCGTGGTGGTGAGGGGATGGCTCTACAAACAGGTGAGTCTACCGACTGCCACTCAGGTACGTTAACAAAGCCTAATTGGCCATAACCTGGATGTATACACCTGTAATACACAGACCTAATCCATCCTAAAAACATTCAATGATGAGTGATCAGATCAGTGTTTTAAGTCATTTATTCTAAAGGTTTGTGTGTAAAATAAACTACATGTCAAATGAAAATAATGGCACAAAAATAAGTTTGTCTTGCACTTTAAATGCCGATGCACAATTAGCAGTCGCAGAGTCAGTCTCCGTTGGCAGACTGATGAAGTCTGCTTTGTCCGGCAAACTTTCTCATTCAATGCTTGCAATAAGAAATCAATGGCAGGACATAGACTTCAAAAGGTTACTTGTCTCCCCATTTCCAGGACAGCTCTGGGATGAGGCTGTGGAAACGAAAGTGGTTCGTGTTGTCTGACCACTGCCTGTTTTATTACAAAGGTGGGTCACACTATATGCTAGACTACAATGCTGATATGGGGAATTGTCTGTGCTGATTAAACAATCATGCTGATTAAAACACTAGTGCAATGAAAGAACCCGCAGTCTTACTGAAAATGTGCTGGACTGAATATCATAACATGAGGAGGGGGAAGGACGAATATTACGACAGTGATGTCACTGCTGGGCAGTGACCAAAGGTGTCTATAGTATTAGTCTATCATACATTCAGTAGTCATCTTATTAGTGTTGGATCACACCCAAGGTTAGGTGCAGCTCTCAGAGGGAGGCAGCCACCAGAGGCAGCATTGCCCGGCGGTGTGTGGGCTTGTGAAAGGGTGGCATTATTATTTTCTACTATGTTGTGTTTAATCCTATTACATGGTCTGCTGAAGAAAAAGTAGTGTTATAAATGCAAATGAAGGGTCTTTCATAGACACTCATCCCACTTTCTCACTTTCATTTCATATCAGTCCATGTGGTTCTGCCTACAAACATGCCAGCATAAAACAAACGGAAATAAAATACTGCATGAGAAAGTAATTCCAAATGTGTGCTGTGCTGGGGGGGGGGGGGGGGGTTCACTTGTCCTCAGTTGCATTACAGCTGAAATTCTTCCAATCGAACCTTGGCAAACCATGTAAAACTCTCTGAGGTTGTCATATGAAGACAAGACCTCAAACTTCCCAGTGTATTGCTGACATTTTGTATATAGTCAGGAATACTTTAGCGTGGCTCATGCAGACCGCATGTGGACACAGACACACAACTCTGCAGGTATAACAATTGAGTTTCCCTGGCGCAGTTTTATTTTGAATGACACATAAAAACTTAATTTGCAAGTCATAGGATCCTTGTGGTAAAATGAAGCCATCTTTGCATTTTTATGCTTTATTTATGATCCATATCCGGCACTCTATTCAAATCTGGCCCTCGATTCCAAATCCAGGCCTTGTTTTCAAGTCTCCCAGGTAGTTAGCTTAATAATTTCTGTCTCTAATTGGCCAGAGGCTTCACAACTGGCTCTCAGGTAAAGGAAGGCTGGAAAACCAGCAGTGCTCGGACCTCGAGGACCGTGAGTTGAATAACCCTGCTATAAAGTATTGCGTGATGAGGCTGTGAGTACAGAAAGTGTCTTGCTTTATACATTAAATATCTCCATGCAGGAATGCACCCATGGACCACTAGGACAGTGTCATAGTGAAGGCATGCTGTGGTTATTCCTGGATGCTGCAGAGAACATTATTTTGGAGTTATTTTGCAAAAGTATTTGGGTATTTTTAGCATTTCTTACCGAGCTTCCCCAAGATTTTTCCATCATCCTGTTTAAACACATGGCAACATCCCTCCATAAGGGGGCACTCTTCTCATTCCTTACAAATGTGTAAATGCACTTGAGCAGTGTTTCCCAACCTGGTTTTTGGGGACCCCCAGCCAGTCCACGTTTTTGCTCCCCTTCCAGCTCCCTGCCAGACAGTCCACATTTTCACCGGGAGCTGGGAGGGAGCAAAAACGTGGACTGGCTGGGGGTCCCCCAGGACCAGGTTGGGGAACACTGCACTAGAGTATTAGGGAGCAGTGGGGTAGCGCTGAGTGTCACTGTGCCCCCCGCAGACAGCCGTGAGGAGGCCGTCCTGGGGAGCATCCCCCTGCCCAGCTACGTCATCTCTCCAGTGGAACCTGCCGACCACATCAGCCGCAAGTACGCGTTCAAGGTGAGGCCCCAGACACATGCCTGGCACCGGGTTCCTGGCCCCTTGCCCTCATGGGGCAATTAAAGCAAGGAGAAGCAAAGCTGATTCGCCCCCGTACTGCTGACAATGCGGAGAAACTTAATCTGAGTGTCTGTGTCTGTATGTGTGAGTGAGTAATTGTCTCTATGTATGTGTGTGTGTGTGTCCGTCCTCATTGATCTCCATCCGATATCCCTCTGCACTGTAAGGCCAGCATGTCACTGCTACAGTGATAAGGAGCCTGGCCGGCTGCAGAGTTCATCGCTTCTGAGTCATGGTGTCTTTGGGCCCTGCTGCTTGAACATTTCACGAGCCGGGCCCCTGCCGGTGTAACCTCCGGCTCCTGAGGCAGCAGATCTGCCTGATCTCTCCTCTGTGACACTTTGCTGCTTACTCAGTGTGCTGCCTGCTCGATAGACTCCTGTATTTCTGCAGCACATTTACTGTGACTAATATCGAATGGCTTCTTTACCAAAGCACAAAGCAGATTCTGGTCATTTACAAGTATTTTTGGAATACGAACTGTTGTAAGTTATGTAAGTTCTACTAATCTTCACGTGGAGGGCCTTGCAGCATCAGCATTGAATAATGTGCTGTGCTACACAGTGTTTTTTTTCCTGCTGTAAGGCTTTAGTGATTGTAGTATTACAATATGTGGGACCTGCAGTAAAAGCAATACCTACTGTGTAAGCTGGTGCTGATCGATCTTCTTGATATCTCATTCTCATGTGCTAGTTGCTTAAGCTGTTTCATACTAATTGTATAAACTATTAGTTTGGCCTCACACCAAACCGTAACAGGGGCTACATGTTGAACTTACTGCTCTCATAATGAGATATTATACTAAACTGAGTTTCAGCACAAGAAAAGGGCTTCTCCAATGCTATGGACTATGAATACATTGTCACAGACACTCTTCTCATTCCTTCCAAGTGTGTAAATGCACTTGAGCAGTGTTTCCCGACCCCGTCTTTGGGGAACCCCCAGCACCACCTCTTTGCACACACCTCAATGGGTGAATGATGTGAAACAGTGAACCGAAAATACACAGCCCTAACCTTAACCATAAGTAACCAAACGAAATCACAGATGGTCCCCACAACATCAAAATGACAGATTTTTATCACATTGTGGGGACATTTGGTTCCCAGTGTAATACATACATGACACACACACACACCCCCACACACCCACAGACACATATATATTATGGCACCCCAAACAGGAAATATTTAATCATGTTTGATAGATATATATATGTCATCATTCCATATATTCCAGGTTGTGTCGTGTGTGTGTGTGTATATATATATATATATATATATATATAGAGAGAGAGAGAGAGAGAGGGTGTGTATATAATGGAGGTTTACTACAGCACTACAGCCGCGACACAGTAGTTGATGATGTACAGCTGTTGATGTTGTAGAGAGGAATATCCCTGCCTTTGTGAAGTAAGTGTGCTGCTCTTTTTCTCTTTCGCTTTTTCTGTGCCGCTTTTCTCATGCCGGTGTGCCTGTCTGTACTGCTCCCACCCTGCCTCTCAGCTTTCCATCCACTGCGTATCTTTGCCAGCATTGCAGAGAGGCAGATTAATTATGCATTAGGCCCCACAGTCCAAGTAACACATAGGTGCAAAGTTCTAGGGCTCTGTACTGCATGTTAATTATTTAGACCTATTAAGTACTTACTGTGTCCGGTGGCCAGCAATGATTGTATTTTACTGAGTCTGGTATTGTCAAGTGGAAAGTGCATTCTGTGACTTTCTCTGGTGACGTTTTCTCCATTTCCATCCATCCATCCATACAGCTTTTGGCTATTTTGAGGTCCCTGTTTCGCATTATTCACCAGTTGAGGTGTTTGCAAAGGTGTACCTATACCTTTTACCTATACCTTTTCTAGGGTAGCAGACTTTCACTGATTGGAAGAGCATGTCCTACACAAAACAAATATGTTGTCATTATGTACATTATTTATGGAAACTGCCTGACTTTTGCTTACCCTCCGTTCACACAGCAGGTGGTGAGAGTGTCAGCGATCGCTCCGGCTGCCTTGCCCGCAATGCTAGCGTACGCTGGGGACGCACTCTGACATAGGCAGGATGGGCACTTGGGCAGGAACAAGGCCGTCCAGGATGCTGCGTCCTTTAACTTTTTAAGGGGGTCGCAAAACAAACAAATGCGTAGCTTATCTTTGTGCCGACTGCTAATTATCGTATCGTTTGTCTAAGCACACGTCATTATGTCACGACAAACACTAATGCTATATATATAAGTAACGTTACCGATACACAATTCACATTGTATTGCATGCTTTGCGCTAAATTTAGCATGCGGTTTTCTTCATTTTTTTCACAAAAATAAATTATGTACTTCACCAGCTCATCTCGAACACCTATAATTTCAGACACCTTGGTCTGTGCAAACAGGGACACGTCATAAATAACTGGGATCCCCGCTATGGCAACAATCAGTTTTATGGGATGCCATCGGAGTATAAACCGTGAGACATACTGCTTCTGGACAGGTTATTTTTTATCCTCCAGACACCGCATTTTCCCCTCTCTCCCTACACCACCAAAAATCTGTTTGAATCCTAAAAGCAGCACTCACCTGATGCTAGTTATATCTCAGGTTAGGGTTAGAACCGCTGCAAAGTTGTTTTAATATCGCACTGTCGCAGCACTTTTGCTTGGAACCGTTGTCATGATAATGCGCATTATTAACGCTCCGTGCAAATTGGGGAAAAAATTATTTTGTGTATTAGCCTAAGTATATCTTAGTACTGAAAGACCTGTTTAACGCGTACATTTGTAACGTGTCGATATGGTATAAAAATGCACGTCAACCCGGGTTTTTTAAAACCGTATTTTTATGCTGTTTAATTTTTATGGTAACTTTAGGGTAAAATGCCCTGTCAAGACATATTCCGTCTGACGGTTTATACCCTGACGGCATTCCATACAATGTCCTCTCTGTCGTACTTGGGGACTGTTTGGTCGGAACAAACGTTTTCACGCTTGTATTCTCTGAAACGCTCTTTAGCGGAGCACCTCTGCATTCCGATTGGTAGTTTACAAAATAAACTCTGCTGTATGAGCCACTTATTTTCTTTTGTTGACTCTCCGCTGACTTCCCTCTCCTACAGTGCTGTATATTTCTGCAGACTTTTGATCTTCGAAAAGAGACATCGGAATAACACAGGACAGTATCAGATATACACACAAAACAATACTTTTGCTGACCACAAGTGCCCAGAAACAGACCCAGGGAAGCCAGGCCGTGGCCAAAGGCAGTACAATAAACATGCTCTTGCTAAGTTGAAGCAGGCTTTCTAAGAACCAAAGGGAGTGCCTCATATTGATCAGAGTGCAGAGGCTTACAGTATATGGAAAGGTATGCTGTCTCTGTTTAGCTATTTGGGTGGTGGGGGCGTCTTTTGCAACCTGGTCAGCACTTTCTCTCCGAGTCCCGGCTCGGACTGCTCTGGACCTGCAGAGCCGGGCTGAATAGACTCTATCCCAACAGGCTTTTTTTCTGGCATCTCCAGACTAAAAGAAGGAGCTGGATTGTCACCCAGCGCCAGCACAGAAACAGTGCAAACACCGCAGAGCTCCTCGCTCTCCATCTCATTTATCATTCCAACCTATATTGCATCCAGACCCGCATTTAGACTGAATGCATTAGACCCACTGCCCAGCAGGGCCGCCCCTAGCCTCTGCACTGTGCTGCCAGGGCCCGACTCCAGCTCACACCCTGACCTTGTGTCAGAGAGGCACGGATGGATGGATGGATGGATATTACAATGTTATGGTTGTTATTTTGATCACATGACCCTTAGAGTGGCTCTGGATATGCAGTTTAAGCAGAGACGGTGTTATAGATGAGTGTCATACTTTGTGTGTACTCCGCCCCCTCTGCACCCCGAACCCCTTTTGTAAAAAGTTTAGGGGAAATTGTGTCCAACTAGAACTGCATATTTTTGGGTCACAGGCAGAGCAGAGCATCTAGCGGATGGGAGGGGGGGCTGGGCAAGGTGGTGTGGTGTGTAGGACATGGAGCCTCGCCAGCAGGGGGCAGCAGCCTCCCAAAATGTCATCTGGCCTCATTCGTCTAGAGGAAACCTGTAACAATTTCAGCTAGAGGCCAATGATGGAATAACTGGTACAATCTCCTTGCTTAGGAATAGTGATGCCGTCATCAGTCATGACATCGTACTTACTATGCCGCAGTTTCTTTGTGGACTGTTTGTGTGGCAGTGAGCCGCCGTCTCCCACGGCGACTGAGCAGGTGACACTGATGCCCCGCCCCTTCCCCACAGGCCAGCCACACGGGCATGCGAGCCTACTTTAATAACAAGGAGGCCGTGGCGGGCTCCCGGACTGAGCACGGCGGCATGCGCACCTACTTCTTCAGCGCCGACACCCAAGAGGACATGAACAGCTGGATCCGGGCCATGAATCAGGCGGCTCTTGTGCAGGCCCCCAGCACCCAGAGGTCAGAGGTCAACAGTGCTTTGTCAGTACTGCTTTATAAAACAAGCTATTTTAAGCCATAATGGTCCATCCATCATGTCATGGGTATAACCTGAGGTTAGGCTAATTCTAGCCCTCTTAAGTGCACATGGCCAAAATATTTTCCGTGCTTCTGTTTTTATTTTGATGTTGTCTTTCTGTGTGGGATAGCTGGTACTAGAACTCCCTTTGCACCCCAGCCCACCCCTGACACTGATGTTCGAGCTTTGCATCAGTTTGACTCTCATTTTCCGCTCGGATGAGCTCAGGAAGAGGACAGAGAGTGTTCAGTGCTTTCTCTGGCTGCCTGAGAGAGGAGCATGAGAAGCTAACAGTTGCTGGATGACGTCTGCATTGAGAGGACTTGTGGCTTTCTGCCCACAGTCTCTCGCCGTTGCCATGTCTGAACGTCTGTTTTGATGTGTGATCATATGGGAGTCCTGTTCTGCTCAATACAAGTGTAATACTCTGTCACACTTTTATAAATATCTAGTCCGTTACACATTGGCTACGTTCACACTGCCAGGAAGTGACTCAAATCAGATTTTTTGCCTTAATATGACACAGATCTGATCTTTTCAGGGCTGTGTGGACACGCAAATCTGATCTTTTCAAATCGGATTTGTGTCACTTTCATATTTGGTACTAAATCTGATACGTATCCGATTCGCGACCATGCGACCTGAATGTGAACACTCAGATCGGAATTCATGTGGCTTTTTGCTTATACGCATGCGCTGACATCAGCCTGCACCGGCAGCGCAGGAAGGTAAAAATGGAGGAGAGCTGCGATAAGAGTCAGTGGAAGGATGGAGAAGTTGGGGATTTAATTAATATTTGTGGAAATGAATCTGTTCAAGCTAAACTGGAAGGAACCTATCGTAATAGAGTAGTATTTGAAATAATTGCCAAAGAAATGGCACAGCGCGGACACGAACGTGGCTACAATGCCAAAGAAAAATAAAGAGCCTGAAGACAAAGTTTAAGGAGGCAAAAGACTCGAATCAGCGCAGCGGTCATGGCCACACAATGTGCCAATTTTACGACCAGCTTTTTACCCGTGTAAAAACGTATCAATGTGCGCATGCGTGATGTTTCGGAGGACCGATGCCTTCACATTACAGTCAGATACAGGTCACTTGTACTTATGAATGTGAGCCGTCAAGATAGACAAATCCGATCTGAGCAAAAAATCGGAATTGAACAATGTGGCTGGCAGTGTGAACGTAGCCTTAGTTTGGTACAAACATGAATTAAATTGTGAAACAGTTCAACATGGTTCACTTGCACCTATCCGGAGGAAACCTGCCTGGATTACATACTCTGAGTTTTTATGGTTGGTTTGTTGGTTGTCTGGTTGGTTGATTGTTTGGTTGTCTGGTTAGTTGGTTGGTTGGCTTGTTTTAGTTAGTTGGTTGATTGTTCAGTTGTTTGGTTGATTTGTTGTCTGGTTGGTTGATTGGTTATTTGTGTGGTTGTCAGATTGGTTGTCTGGTTGTTTTATTGATTGTTTGATTGTCTGATTGGTTTATTGATTGATTGGTTGTCTGGTTGTTTTATTGATTGTTTGGTTGCCTGGTTGGTTTATTGATTGATTGATAGTCTGGTTGGTCTATTGATTGATTGGTTGTCTGGTTGTTTTATTGATTGTTTGGTTGTCTGGTCGGTTTATTGATTGATTGGTTTTCTGGTTGGTTTCTTGATTGATTGGTTGTCTGGTTGGTTGGTATGTGGTTGGCATGCCATTCACCGTCACCTGTGCTCCCCACCCGCAAGCCTTCAGGGGAAATTTTAAGGGGAACTGCTACCTCCTGGTGTCCCACTGGGAAAGCATGTGGCTCCTCTGTAGCAGTGGCGTGACCCACATTGCTTTCCCAGCAGTGCAGGAACAATGCGACATTTCTCACCCTGCCGCCACTGTTCCCGTGGCAGCCTCCCCCCCACCCCCATGCCGTCACACTAGCTCACTGAATAGCCCTTTCCTCTGCACTCTGCTGTTCCTGCAAACACGACGGCTCCAACATGAATCGGCTTTTTATATATTTTTTTCTTTAATTTGTGGCGCACAGATTGCTTGGATTCCTGGAAGTCCAAGCTCTGGCGACACAGTGGCAGTCCTCCTCAGGTAGGGGGAGCTGTCACTAGCTCAGATCAGAAACAGTACATTCAGGACCAAGCCCCATGCACTAGTGTTGATCCAGGCATACTAAACGGAAGTACTTCTTGGTGAAACCATTCCTGTAAAGGGCTCACGCAAGAGAACTGCATAAGGTAACAGCGTATTAACCAGAAACTAAAACAGCACCCTTTGGTGTTAACGCTGGTGCTTCTGTGTCCCACTCCCTCTGTGGCCAGCTTTTTGGTTTGCTGTCTCTTGCTTTGCCTGGTACAGCAGTGATCATTGTTCGCCGGAATTGCTGTGATGATGTCAGAGCGATTCGCCAGCCTCACTGTAGATGTCCTCGATCAAAGGGAGAGGCCAGTAGCTATCAGAGAGCACAGGATCGCATGTGCGTGCAGTGATAACCTCTGTATCTGAATCACTGGCTGCCAGTACAATGATATCGGTATTTGTGTGCTGAATTTGTGCTGGGAAAGGCTACAGTTCAGTGCCACAAGTGATAGAAGATGGCCTCTGGCGTCAGGACCAGTGAAGTCTTTCCCTTTAAATGTTACTTTTCCACCTGACATTGATAATAAAAATAGCAAATCTGTGAACAGTTGAAGATTGATACAGTAGCTTTTTTTTTTTTTTTTTTTTTTTTACTCTTAACGGACTGCCTGATTCTTTAAGGCTCATCGGCTGATTAGGAAATTGGAAAATGGGAAAACTCGTAAAAGGCCCATTTAACAGAGATTGATGTTAGTTGCCGTAATGTGTAAGTTTGACTCATCATCATGGTATTTTCCTATCTCATAAGTTGAGAAACAGCAGTTTCTAAAATACCCAAAGATGTTCGCTCATCTGTCACATGGCTTCCTGTCACAGAGAGCTGCAGTCCAATGAAAACAGGAGCCTTTCCTTCTGTGTTATCAGTATGTCAGACTGGATTGCAGCAGTTTTCATGAATGTCCCCAAGGGATCTCATCTTCAGAAATAATTTATTAATAATCTCATCCACACAACTAATTGTGCAATTAGGGACTAATTAAGCAGAACAATGAGCATTGACATTAAATTTTCAAGGGATCCAGTGTCATTCACTAAAAGAGCAAAGGCAGATCTGACAGTTACATTTAGCTATAAAATTTCCTTTTTTATAACAAAAAATAAATAAAACATTTTATTTAAAAGTACCTGGTAGCAGCCAATAATGTAATAACTATCAATGGCATAATCATTTTTCCATTCTTAATGTAATAAACATCGATAATGTAATAATGTACCAATAATGTAAGATTTTCTGAATGAAAAATATAACTTTTTGTGCCTAATGTAAAAAGACAGTGGGGGGGGGGGGGACCATGAAATGACTTTAAAACTACAAGGAGAAGTTTATGATGACTGTGAAAGTAAAGTGGGAGGGGGGTAGCTGTCCAGCTGCTGTACTGATGTGTTCCCAGGGTTCTAAATGTGAAGATGCTTGCTGCTGAGTTTTTGGGGGCTTTTTTCAGTCCTCCGCACCCTCTTTCTCCTGCAGTATCTCTCCTCAATGTATTTCTTGAAATCACAGAACATCCTGTATTCTAAATCATCACCGGAATCAAAGGCAAACTTTTATCTGATATACCCATAGTTTAACACGTCCATAACTCATAAAGGAAATACGGAACATGCAATCAGTGTTTTCCATCACAAAACTGACTGACCACAGCAAGCAAATATTTGTTAATTGTATCATGATGGAGGACTGTAAAAGTATGAACCCATGTAAGGCAGTTAATATCTTTCTTTGGTGCTTTGATAATAAATTTGTTCTTATTTATTCCATCAGGATTCACCCATCTGAGAAAAACAATTCACTTGGATAATTTGAAACAATAGCCATGTTTGGAATTCCCAGTGCAGGTCACTTAAGCTGCTTTTTGCTTGTCATGGTGAGATCTTTGCCTGTTTGGAAGATCCCTCTTAATGACACATGTCCATTTTCTGGTAATATATGGCAGAGCAAGAAGTGATTCTGCTCCACCTAGATAACGTGTCTATTTTCATTTCAGTCTCCTGCAGTGACAAGTTTCATAACGTGGCAATTTAAATGTAAATTTTTTTGCTTTAGAAATATTGCGTTTTTATGCCTAGTTAATCAGTACATTTCTGCTTGATCTCCAGTCTTTAATACTTTGTTTATAAAGTTTGTTTGTTACCTCGTTGTTGACGTATTACTTTCTTGACGTTCTTTTCACAAAATTTGGAGAAACCAGGGTGTCTCGTATCCTGTGCTTCCTGGGGCAGATTTTCGACCCTCTACTCCATCATCGGATGTATTAGTGTATTTTCAGGCTTATGTATTATGAGATGGCTGAGTAGATATGATTTGTTATTATGTAATAGGTATGAGAAATTCTTCCTTGGTTTCTATGCTATTACCGTGTACCGACTGTCCCTGCATTTACAGGGAGTCTGAGAAGCCGAAGCAGGCGGGATCTTTTGAGCGAGAGGCAGCCCCACAAACCAATCACGTCAATAATCACAGCAGGACCACATCTCAGCCGGCAGGCTTGCCCCAATCAGAGAGCACGGAGCCGCCCGACGGCAACTCCTTCAGCATGGAGTCGACTGAAGAGGCCCGCAAGGAGCGGGACCCCACTTTCCTCAAGGACACACCGGAGGCCCAGAGCCAGGTCCTGCCCCCCGCAGTCTCCATAGAAACAGGAGGTCGGCCCCTGGATGCAGCAGTCCCCCAGGCGCCGCCCGCACACAGCAGCCGCCTGTCCCCAAGCGTCCTGCGGCTCGAGCCCAACCCCGGCGGGACGCATATGAAGGGTGGGGCTCCCTGCTCCGACACGGAGAAGCAAGTGCAGAGGAAGAGCGCGCTGGCCCAGGTGGAGCACTGGGTGAAGGTGCAGAAGGGAGACCCCAAGAGGTCAGGGGGCCGAGGCAGCCGCCTTACGAGGCAGACACACACCCATACACACACACACACACACACACACA